GGGAGGTGACCCACATGGTGCCCCTGACCTCTCCTGTCTCCCCGCTGCTCCCCTCAGCAGTGCGTTTCAGTTGATCCGCCTGCTCTGCTCCCCACTCTCTCTGATGGGTCCTCTCACCCCCTGGACCTCTGGCCCATACCCCAGTTCTTCTATATAAAAATAACTATTTTTTTAACATATATATTTTAAATGTCTTCCTTACATACTGCAGCTCTGGAAAGGCATGCTTATCACACGAGCATTTGCCCTTTCCTACCTACAAGAAGACCATTAACTACTCCTTTTCAGCAGATGCCATTTTGAAGTTCTAGTATGGTGAGGTCAGGCAGACCTCAGTGTGAATCCAGAATCCGCCACTTAGTGGCTCGAAGCCTTGAGCAAGTAACTTACTGTCTCTGAGCCTTAGTCTCTTCGCCTGTAAAATGGCACTAACAGCACTTATGTCCTTAGAGCCATGTAGATGAAACACTTCAGGGAATCAGGCACAGAGCAAGCTTCAGTTAACCAAGTTAACTAAGGTCACACAACACATTTCAACTGGTGGTACCGTCCTCAGCGATGAATAAAGAACTGAAAGTGTTCCCTTACGAATTCTATTTTCCTTCCTTTTTGTTCCACATCACAGCGGGGCTGCTCGGTAGCTTCCGCTCTCCCAACTTCTCGATGCCACCCAAGGACAGTAAGAAGAAAGAGGCCAGAAAGTCGGTCAGGAAAGACAAAGGCCTAGTGCACAAATTCGGGGGTGAGGCCAAAAAGATGTGGTGCAAAGGAAAAGTTGGGACCAACTCAAGACCTAGTCTTCTTTGACAAAGCCACATGTGACAAATTCTGGAGGGATGTCCCCAGCTTGCAGCTCCCAAGCCAGCTGTTGGGTCAGGGAGAATGGAGGCTGGTGGCTCCCTGGTAGGAAGTCCTGCCCCAGGAGTGCCTCCCAAAGGGCTCACTCAACTGGATTCAAGGCCAAGGCTCAGAGCTCAAGCCACTTGCACCAAGAACACCAAGGATGGGGAGTCCCAGCAGCCAGCGAGGGTGCAGCCCCAGGCCTCACCCGCTGTATATTTTGAAAAATAAAACTCTGCTAAATAAATGTTTAAAAGAATTCTATCTTTAAGACTATCAAGTTCACCAGGGGTCCAACGAGGTGATTACTGCCTTCTAAAACATGAGCTTCGTAAATAATGATGAGGAACGCATGACAGTTACTTGCAACTAAATACAGCAAGTGGAGTTGGGAGCCAAGGACTCCCAGGTCACAAGACGAGTTTCTCTCCTTGGTAAGTCAGTCTCTCCTTCCACAAATAATTCCTGAGCGCCAAGGAGTGGGGACGCAGCAGAGACAGCCAGCCTGGGAGCAGCCCGGCCTCTGACAGCAGGAAACCTGCCGCAGGCAGCCAGCCTCAGGTCCGCCTGGTGATGGCGGCTGGGAGCAGAGAATTTAGATGGAAGCGTCACAAGGCCAGCAGCTAAGGTGGGGTCGAAAGATGCACCCGGGGTTAAGCTGGCTGTGGAAAATCCCTGAGGCACAGAGCGGAGTGGGGACACGGACCAGTCCTCACAGCTGAAGCCAGCTGGACCTTAGAAGCTACAGATTCCATAAAGGAAGGCGTCCCCCCAAGGACCACCAATAAGGGTACCCCGTGCTCCGGCAAATCCGCAGCTCCCCGCCCGCCTGCGTGTGCGCGGGCGCCTCCGCGTTCCTAGCAAACCCGTCCTTGGAAACGCAGCCCTGCCCGCAGCCCTGCCCGCTCGCGTCCACGCAGTCGCCTTTGGCCTCAGTGAAGGCGCGGCGAGCTGCCGACCGGGAGACTCCAGTCAAGCTTTTCTCAGCGGAACCCACGGACCCCATTCACTCGCTGCACCCCACTCCATGCAAGCCCCGCGGGCGGAGGTGCCAACTTCTGGGGAGTTCCCAGCCGCGGGGTGCCGGGAGGGAGGCGAGGTGGCGCGGGAAGAGCGGCCCGAATGGCCCGAGACGGAAAGCGGGGCCCGGGGCCCGCCCCTGGGGCACCCCAGGTGCTGGTGAGGCTGCGGGGCCCGGCGGGCCGCCCCGCTCCCCCGCGGCGCCTCACGCGGGCCCGTTTGAGGCCGAAACGGCCCCGCCAGCCCGGCCGCGAGGCCCCGGCCGGGGCGCGGCGCTCACCTGGCGCCCCGCGGCGAGGAAGGCCGCCGAGGGCTTCATGGGCGTTTCCTCCGCGCCCCGACAACGTCGCGGCGGGCAGCGTCACCCTCCACCGGCCATAGGGGCTGCCCGGAGCGGCGGGGCGACCCCGCGCCCGCGCCCTGCCCGACCCAGCGAGCCCAGCCAAACCGCCGGCCCGCGCCCCGCGTCGCCCCGCGTCGCCCCGCGTCGCCCCGCGTCGCCCCGCGTCGCCCCGCGTCGCCCCGCGTCGCCCCGCCGCCCGCTCTCGCGACACCTCGCCGCGCCCGCGAGACCCCCGCCCCGCCCCGCCCCGCCCCGCCGGGGTCGCCCGAGCCGGGGCGCCGGGGCCCCCGGGGCCGGGTCTTAGCCCGTCCCCCACCCCCCGCAGACACCTGGGGGCCCGTGGTAACCTGCGCCCCGGGAACGCGACGAAGGCCGCCCGCACCCCAGTATCACGGGCCGCAGGGGACCCGGTGTGTGGATCTGGGTCTGAGCCGCCCGCGCCGCCTCCGCTGTGGAGAGGCCGCTCCCCGCGGACCCCAGCCGGCCACCCCCGGCGCCTCGCGAGCCCCGGGCTGTGGAAGGTGAAGGGCGCCGCGCCAGCCCCGCGCCAGCCCCGCGCCAGCCCCGCGGCCCGGTCCCTGCGGCGGCGTTACGGAGACATGACCGGGTGTCCTATGGCCCAACTCTCCTCGGTGGGCTGAGAATTAGCAAAACACGCCCGGGCGTTCCTGAGATAGCCTGAGATAGTCTATTGGCAGATGACCGTGCAGGAAGTCTGGGTGGGGGAATGAGAACGGTGAAAAGGGATGTGGTTGAAAGTCACCTGTGAATGGAGGCGCTTCCTGATTCATACTTCTCAAATTTCTCCCTAGCAAGATTTCTCGTTTTTCTAGAAAGCCCTAACAGGCCATTCTTCCCCAGGCAACCACATGCCTCTCACTCACTGTGACAGTGTGCACAGAGTAAGACATGAGGCTCATTATGAGATTATGGTTGGCAAATACTGAATATCTGATATTCAATCCTAAAGAGAGGACTGACTGGATGGGAAAAATATCTCAACATTTAAGATTGACTCTCAAGTTTTTTTTTTTTTTTTAGATTTTTTTTTTTTTTATAGAGGCAAGTTTTATTTTTTTTTATTTGTTTGTTTGTTTTGTTTTTGTTTATACAAGCACTGGGTACAGTCAGAAGCGCAGGAGGGTGAGAGAATTCACCAGAGCCAGAGCAGGGAGCAGAGCAGGCAGAAGGACCGAAGTACACTGCTGAGGGGAGCAGCGGGCGGCAGGAGAGGTCTGCGCGCCATGTGGGACCCTCCTCTGGTGGCTGGGGAGCAGCCGGGGATCGAACCGGCGCCGCAGAGGCCGCGGGCAGCTTCGCAACCCAGCGCTCAACCGCTGCGCCACTGGGGAGGCCCTGACTCTCAAGTTTTAACAGAAAAATTCTGCAAAGATGATAGAACTTGGGCCTCCCTGGTGGCACAAGGGGTTAAGACGCAATCTATGAAGCTATTCGCAGCCACTGCAGCATGAGTTCCACCCCCCCACTTGTATGCATAAATATTTTTTAAAAAATACAACTTTTTTAAGTGACATAAAGTGATGTCTTACGAAAGCTGTAAGAACTACACTGCATCTGATTGTACACTCCATCCAATCCAAGCTGAAGAATTAAACACTCATTCTGGCTTCCCTACCTAATTTCTCAGTGAATTTAATAAATAACAAAGACAGGATCTAAAAGGTAGAATTCATCATTTTTTTTAGTATTTATTTATGCATACAAGAGCTGGGGTACAGGCCAGAAATGTGGGCGGTGAGAGGATTCACCAGAGACAGAGTGGGGAACAGAACAGGCAGACTGATGAAATACACTGCTGAGGGGAGCAGCAGGCGAGACAGGAGAGGTCTGCCATGCCATGTGGGAATCTCCCTGGCGGGCCAGGAATCGAAAACTGCACTGCAGAGGCTGCGGACAGCTTCACAGCGCTGCACTTAACCCACTGCACCACCAGGGAGGCCCTGTAGAATTCATCTTTAAAGTAGTAATTTATCAACAGTAATTTCTTAAAACTGAGAATGCCACCATGGATTGTACCTTAAGCAACAGGTGAGTTACTGAGGCTTTTACGTGGTAACTAAAGTTTAAAATCACTCGTCAGGTGCAGCAGACCTCTCCTGACTTGCCCACTGCTCCACTCAGCAGTGTACTTCAGTCAGTCTGCCCGTTCTGTTCCCCACTGTCTTTGGCGAATCCTCACACACACCCCACCTCTGGCCTGTACCCCAGCTCTTGTATGCATAAATCTTAAAAAAAAATTACTCGTCAGCTATTTTTTTCCAATGAATAAAAATCCTACATATCAAAACCATAGAGGTGGCCCTTGAATGACATGGGTTTGAACTGAGCAGGCCCACTGACGCTCAGATTTTCTAGTAAACAGAGGATGTAAACTTAGGGTGTCCATACAGCAGTTCTGTGAATGTATTTTCTCATCCTTATGATTTTCTTAATCTTTTCTCCAACTTATAGTACATAATACCTATAAAAAGTGTTCATCAACTATGTTATCAGTAGGCTCTTGTCAAGGGCAGGCCATTAAGTTTGGGAGGAGTCAAAAGTTATACGCAGATTTTCTACTGGGACTGCGGTCCATTCCCCAAACCCGCTGTTCAGGGGGCAAATGTCTTGCACTTGAAGTTGCCAACTTAATCATGGCAACTCTTACACACATTGCGAGATAAGGCTGTTTAGAGGGCAGTATTCTTTAGATAAAAACACTACACGGGAAAACCACCTATGTAATATATAATGGTAAGATTATATGAAGTTGCTCCTTCAACTAGTCATACATTTTATTTGGAGATTATGCTGTATTTTAAATTTCAGGTGAAAGAAAAAAGATTCACACAGGTATACACAAGGACGATTTTAATCCTGCATTTCCTGTAGCAGCATCCATCATGGGTTGCATATGGATGAGACTGCATTTGCCAAGAGCTGTGGAACATCAAGAATGTTTACACAAAGCCATGGGGGGCTGGCACTGCCCAGGGCTTTCCCAGCACTGTGGCCAGACATGGCACACACCAGATGGTCTTGAGTAAATTTGCTTCACTGGATAATCGTTATTTAGTACAAGTCACAGTTAATGCACATTTTCATTTTAATTCACATCTTTATTACATATTTTTTCCTAAATTTTATTTAAAAAACCACTCATTCGGGATTGTAATTGCATGGCAATAAACAATGGGTTCTGTATTTCTTAAAGGCATTTATTTATAGCAATTTAAAATACCATGAGTAGTTTTTTCAATTTGTAGTGTCTGATGGAAGACCTTTACAAAAACCACTTAAATTCTTCTAGTGCACATATTACAATTCATTGTCCCCGTGTCCCTCATGGGAAATCACATTTCACATGTTATTTCCCAAACTATCTACTGAATGTGGGTGTATATACAATTCTCAATTGACTCACATAATTTATAGCCAGAACAAGGACTCAACCTTTCTGAATGGTCTTCCATTCAAAACAATGATAGTAATCCTGGTTGTTTCTTTAGGATAATGTCAAAGAAGTGGCTTACTGGGTCAAACAGTGCAGATGGTTTAAGGCTTTTAATATACTTTACCAAACAATTTCCAGAACAGCTGAGCAACTCCTACCAGGAGGATGTTATTGAGTCCACAAAGTGGACTTGGTTGGTAACATTGAAGCAAATTGAACCACAAACCTATAAGATGCTCAAGCATCTCAAAACTACCACACCAAGGCAGCAAGGAGACAGTTATTACTGATGCTGAAGCCAAATCCAAATTCTTTAAATATCACTCAGCTTAATCGTGATTTGAATGAATCACGATTATTTTAAAATAATCAAAAGGAAAGCTTTCCACAAAAAGTCTACAGTGTTTTTCCAAAAATAAAAAGTTAAAAAGAGAAGTCAGTACCAAATGACCAAAATTTTTTATTTGACTAAATTCTATCTCATGCATAAGCATGACAGTCTCCCCTGTTTTATTAGACTTTGGCAATAAAAAAAACAAGCAGCCTTGTACAGAACAGGGAAATGCCACGGGGGAGGGTAGTCCACAGTTTTACTGTAGGATAAATATATATTCTAAAAGGCCTCTCTCCCTTCGGCCATTATCAACTCTCAGTTCAGATCATTAAATACAGACAAATTTTCAGTATCATTTCTTCACTTCGCCAAGATCTTCAATGCTATCATCATCCACCTGTAAAACACAAATAATTACATTTCATGAATTGTGCTATCGAATAATATGAAGCAGCCTGCTGAAAACACTTATTTACACACACAGGCTCCACATACTCACCTCTGGCCATTTTTCCTGAATGACGTCAATGATGTCATCTGTAAAATCTCCCTGAATGATGATCTCATCCTCCCCTGTTACTGAGGCACCACAGGAGAATTTCTGAGCAAAAAATCTTTGTGCTTCTTTAAGATCAATTTCTGTTATTTTAAAAAAAGAAACAGCAAGACTATAATTAGAATCGTACTTTGAAGGTATTTTTCCATTTTGAAATTTATACTTTAAATTCATAAAATAGAATGTATTAATGGGCTTCACCTCCCCTTTAGAACCATAATTACAAGGCCTCCCTGGTGGCGCAAGGGGTTAAGTACCGCACTATGAAGCAAACCGCAGCCTCTGCAGCACGAGTTCGATCCCCAGACGGCCAGGGAGCAACCCACATGGCGAAGCAGACCTCTCCTGTCTTGCCCGCTGCTCCCCTCAGCAGTGTGTTTCAGTCAGTCTGCCTGTTCTGTTCCCCACTCTGTCTCTGGTGAATCCTCTCACCCCCTGCGTCTCTGGCCTGTACCCCAGCTCTTGTATGCATAAATAAATAAATCTTTAAAAAAAAAAAAAAAAGAACAATAATTACAAACTGCCACAGGCAGTGCTCTTAACCATTCAACTTTTCTGTTAGGTCCGAGAAAGCCTCCCTCTATAGAGAGCATCATCCCCATACTATTCATAACTCATAGAGTAAGACCAAACCCAACCTAGCAATACATTAATTTCTAATTACATATACACATCCAAGAATCCCTTTTTACAGAAGAAAAATTTACAGCAAAGAAACAAGCCTGATATTTACAATGTGAATCAGTGACTGGTTTCCAGTCTACAATGTCATGCTGAGGGATCCTGGTTTACATTATTCACCCCAGTTGCATTCAAGGACTCCAGGAACTGAGGGGGCCCTGAAGTAGGACATTCTGTGGCAACCCACCTTCCCTCAGTCAGTCCTGGAGGGGACGAGCCGTGCCGCAGTCCCCTGCCACCAAGCCTGCAGAGGACAGAGAGGCAGCGCTGGCAGCTTCAGTGGGACCCACCCTCCTCCTCTTTCTACATAAAATGTGACTGAGCAGGAATCCTGGAAAGCAAAGAGTTAAACCAGTCCTCCCTGCAAGAGATTTTGATATTACTTCAAAATTTGATTTGGAAGCTAGAGTTAGAAATGTAAAATCTCATTTTGTATCTTCTTAGCAAAAAATGAGTCTCTAAAATTTTCATGATGCCAGATTAAAGACAGAGACTATAGTTCCCACATTTTAAACATACTGAAGCTCGAACTCACCAAAAGTTGCAAGGCCACACACTCTCGTTACGTATTTCTTCTTCGCTCTGGGAATTTTGGCTATCGTAACCTTTTGTGGTACAGTCTTCTTTTTTTGTTTTATTTGACCCCTTCCACCTTTAAAGAGCTCAGCATTAATGATTTCATCTTAAATACAGAGAATACTAAGACTTTTAATTTTTAATTTTCAAAAGGTAGCAACTACTTATGTCTTAAGTTCTTTTCTAATGCATAGCTAAAAACATACTCATTAGTAGTCACTCAATAAACATTTAGTAAGTACCTACTATATGGCAAGCACAGCACTAAGGCTGAGCACACAAAGATGACAGAAAATAGTCCCAGGCCTCCCCTAGTGGCGCAGCGGTTAAGCGCTGGGCTGCAAAACTGTCCGCAGCCTCTGTAGTGCCGGTTCGATCCCCGGCCGCCAGTGAGGGTCCCACATGGCGCACAGACTCTCCTGCCGCGCCCGCTGCTCCCCTCAGCAGTGTATTTCATCAGTCTGCCTGTTCTGTTGCCCACTCTGGCGCTGGTGAATTCTCTCACCCTCCCGCCCTTCTGAATGTACTCAGTGCTTGTATAAATAAATAAATAAATCTTAAAAAAAAAAAAATTAGTCCCTACTCTTCGAGAACTCAGTCTGGTGAAGGGAGAGAAATTTAAATAATTACAGCAATCTGACATACCACACACACGCACACACAGGAAGCGCCACTGAAGTTTGGTCTGGCAGGACAGAGAACTGTCCAGGTGAAAGGAGGAAGGCTGGAGGGGATAAGGACGGATGTGCTGGGAAAGGGAACAAACGCAGAGAAGAGGCAGTGGCGCGTCTGACAACCGTGCTGTCTGGCCGATGGATGCTTATGGAAGCACAGCAGGTGAGGCCAGCGAAGCAAAAGCTCACACACCAGCCAGCAGAGGACGACTGCATCGAGCTCTGGAGCGGGACCTGAGACTGTGGAAGAGCCACTGGACGGCTATGGGGATGCTTACTCCACAGCGTGAGGGCACATGTGTGAATTCTGAGGCTAACAGAGAGGCCACTCAGGAACCTGCATCATCAGTTCAATCAGAAATTAATTAAAATCTAGACCCCAAAGCAGTGGAAAGAATAATGGCCAATAAGCACAGGAAAGAGAGAGAAAGGAAGAGAAATAACAGAATTTAGAACTGTCTAAAGGGGCACAGAGAAAGTGCCTAGGACGGGTCCCAGGGTTCAGATCTCAGGTGACAGGATAAAATGTGTCTTCAATAACCAAAATGGGGAAACAAAGACTTAGCGCATTTAGGAAATGGGGATTGGAGGTGCCTGTGGGCCGCGCACACTTCTGGTCTAGACAAAGGCCAGGTTTAGAGACACAGCTTTGGGACTCTCACATGGAAGTGGGGCAAAAGCTAGCACCGTGGAAGACTCTTTCAAGGAGAAGAGCACAATGAGATGGTGAGAGGGACAGGGCCCCGGGAAACACCCACGACGTTTCAATGGAGACGGGAGAAGTCTGCGCAGGAGACTGAGGAGACGCAAGAGGAGGCCCAGGAAGGAGGAAAGCCCCACATTTCAAGAAGGAAGTGCTCACACGCTCTCACTATTTAGCACAATGAGCCTTGGGTGACATAGCAGAGCTTTGGTGGCGTGAGTGTCAGATTAGGCTAAACTGAGGCATGCAGCGTGAACAGAAGAGACACAGAGAGAAGCATAGACTCCTGCGGGGTCCAGCTAAGAGGGAAAGGGAGAGACGAGGCAAAGAAAGACATGGGCTCTTGGGAGATTCTTTTTCTGAAGATGCAAAGCTCTGAAAACAAAAGCTCATTCCAGTCATAGGGAAAATAACTAATGAAGAAACAAGTGGGGACAGAACCCAGAGCTTGGGAAATTAGTTTTAGAAGGAGAAATGGAAAGATACATGCAGCGGGTATTTAAAAAACAATGCAACTGAGCTGTCGGATGTAACGAGAGAACAGAATCTTTTATAAATGTTCTCATTCTAACTAAACAGAACACACAGGTATTTTAATAAGGTAACAAAGCTTTTAAAGTCATAAGCTGGCTGGCTGCTTTTTACATATACCCAGGGCAAGTCAGACATGTGTCCTGAGGTCCAATTCACAGATTCCTCAGATCAAATCTACCGCGCCCCACCATGCCGAGAACCAGGATTCTGTGGTCCTCATGTGTGCACATGAAGGACAGCCGAGGGCAGGGGCTGTCCACCTGGGAGCGCTGGTCACCTCTACTCTCAGAGGCAAGGCGAATTTGTGGAAACCACTTCAAGGATGTAGATCTCACCTCTCTTCTGTTTTTTCTTCTCTTCCTCTTCCCCTGCTGTTCCTTGACCCTCACTAATTCCAGCTTCTTGTCTGGGTGAATTTTCTAGATGTAAAATGGAAAAGCAAAAGCATTAACATGATTTTATACTAAAGCTAAAATTAAAAAACACCACTGGGCAACCTTAATGAGGCATTTTACCCACAACTAAGCATGACCTTTATTAAGGCAAATGATGATATTGCTAGATTCCTACCAAGTCTAACTCTGAAGCCATGATGGCAAATGTATGGTGACAGAAGGGAAAAGAAAGTCTTCTGATGTGAGGATCAGGATTTGAGTCACATGAAAGGAGCAAAAACCACATGTCGTGTTTAATATCCAAACACAAATCTTGTTAAGAGGAATTTGCGTCCCCAATAAAAAGAGCTTCCTTTCTTCCCTTCCCAGTCGCATTCCCGCCCTAGAGCGGTCACGCTGACCACCAGCCATGTAGACTGAAGGCAACACCAGGCTTGAAGGTTCTTGCCCAACCACTGACGACAGCGTGACAGTGGAGGTATGATATAAAAAAGCATGATCCAAGTTTTGGGGTTTTCGCCTCATGGAAGAAATCTAAAAATCTAGCAGCAAATGGCAGGACAGTACCAGGCACAGCTACGAGGCATGTTCCCAGGCCAGGCTTTCCCTCTTCCTGCCTCTGCCTTCATTTTTGCCAACTCTAGCAAGTTGAGGAAATCTGTTCCTTTGTCATCTTCCTTACCTCTGACAGCTGTTCCATTCTTCTAGCTGTTTGGGCCCAAACCCCCAAAGCTCCTTTTCTCACACACCCCACAATCAATACATCAGAAAACCCTGCCAGCTCTTCCTGTACAACATCCAGAACCTCGCCACTTCTCTGTACCTCCACTCCTGCCCTCTGGCCCAAGTCGCTGTCACCTCCTGCCAGCTTTCTGCAGTCTACCTGGTTGCCCCTGCTCCGCTGTCCAGGTGCCCTATCAGTCTATTCTTTACACAGCAGCCAAAGAGATGCCACTCAAACACAAGTCAGAACATCTCTGTCTTCCGCTCACGCTCCCCCACGAGCTCCTCAAGGTGTGCTCCTCTTCTAGTACTTCCCTGGCCTCGTCTCCCACCCTCCTCCCCATTCTCAGATCCGCTCAGGACACAAACAGCTCCTTGCTGTTTCCAGGGTATGCGTAAGTTTTTTGCCTCAGGACCTTTGTACTTGCTGTGTTATCAGCCTAGAATGTTCTAGAAATCCAAACAACTCACTGCCTTACTTCCTTTAGGCCTTTATTCAAAGGCCATTCCCCCCATCCTACTCCCCCGCCCCGCCCAGCAAAATCGTTCCTGGTCCTAACGCTAATTTAACACATTACATCTTTTGCTTATTGGATTTGTCTCTCCTAGAACATCATTTCCAAAGAGTAGATCTTTTGTTTACTGCTTTATCCTCCGCACCTAAAACAGTGTGTGGCACACAGTATGCTTACAATAACTTGCTGAATGAGTGAAAATATAGCTGCCCCTGAGTCATTTTATTTTTCTTTAAATAAGAAAGTTGATACTTTGATTTATCCCATCTCAAAGAGACACAAAACAGTGTTATGGTTTTATATTAAGGAATTTTAACCCAAGAACTTAAAACAGTTTTATTTAAAGTTAATAGGTAGTGGGCCTCCCCGGTGGTGCAGCGGTTGAGCACTGGGCTGCGAAGTTCTGCAGCGCCGGTTCGATCCCCAGCCACTGGGCGAGGGTCCCACATGGCGCGCAGACCTCTCCTGCCGCCCGCTGCTCCCCTCAGCAGTGTCCTTCGGTCCTTCTGCCTGCTCTGCTCCCCGCTCTGCCTCTGGTGAATTCTCTCACCCTCCCAACCCGCGCTTCTGACTGTACCCAGTGCTTGTATAAATAAATAAATAAATCTTTAAAAAAAAAAATAAAAAAAAAATAAAGTTAATAGGTAGAGTTTGTAATTCTGTAATAGCCTACTGGAAGACTTGCTCATGTCTTTAAGATAATGCCTTGTGTGCACTTGTTTCCTGTACACAAGTTCTGATGAAAGAAAAAGTTGTTCTTACCTACGGTAAGCTTTGCGAACTCATTTGGAAAATTCTTCTCTAACCATTGTCTACATTTAGCAACATCAGGCATATATTCACAGTACTGGAGGTGAAAGGAACAAAATGAGTCACAACAGAGCATTTTCAATCAACCAATATATTATTTAATCAAAAATCATTCCCTTGTTATAGAAATGATAAGGCTAACTGATGTGTTAGTCACAGGAAAACTAGATTCAACTAGGAAACACCCCAAAAGAAGCTAGAAATTAAAAAGGATTGGGAACCTTCTGTCATTTGTTTCCTCTCTCAAACAGAAGGGGCATGACAAACAGCAAGCACGTCTGTATCTTGCTTTGGGCACACGGGGTGTCATTACTGCTGTGACTTGCCCAGAGCCTGACCTAGAAGCTTACTAACAGAACGTCCACCCATAATTCAATTTATGCTTTTTCTCCTCTGCTCACATGCGTACAATTTGGCTAAGAGGTTACTCTTTTTATCAGCTAACTATTCAGGAGTCCCATGCAAAATCCAAACTTCAATATCAAGCACAAAAGGTAGAGGTACACATGTGACTCAAAGTCTAAAGAAATAAATTAAAGACCTAAACTTTTCCTGAACTGCAGTTTTCTACAAAAGTCTGAAGTATCTAGCAAATGACAGAATATGATAAATAAGAAAAGGAAGTTGTCAAGCAAGCTCTAAAATCAGTGACCCCAAGTGCAGAAGTTAAAAAAGAGCCAAGAATTTTGAAAGGACTTACCTCTGTTGGTAATGAACAGACTGGGGAAACGGAGAGAAAAAAGACATGAAAGTTAAATATACATACACACAAGGCTTACCATAAATTTTATTTTATACTTCACAAAATGTTTCATTTCTACTTAGAACTTTTCTGTACCACTTTTCAAATGCTACCCATCATATACCCTCACCCTCTTAAGATAAAAGACACTTGGTTACCAGATATTTTATTTTGATTTTTTTAATCTAAAGACTGTCTCTTTCAATTAATGGAATGGAATGTGGAGCTACACTACCACCCTGCAGATGCTGCGGGTCAATGGGTCTAAGAATGACACGGGCACAATCCCCCGCAGCTAAGCTTTACTCTGGAGCTGGCGATTTCTTTGGCTACTTTACCAAGTGGTCACTGCTTTTTATTCAGGCTAACACACTTACAGACTTCAGTGGCACTTCTGCTACCATTGCTTTCCCACACACTTCCCTGTTCCTTCCTCCTGTTAGGCCATGAGAGACCATGAAATGGTACAGGCAATGGAACCCTGGCTCCATCTGCTCACTGGATAAACCTGCACAGGCTATGAGACTAGAAAAACTCAACGGGTTTCCCCATTTTAACTGTAATTCTATTACTTATTGCTTTTTTTTTTTTTTTTTTTTTTTTTTAAATTTTTACGGCGAAGGATGGAGTTCAGTGTGCCCAATATCCTGACATGTGCGGGAGAGGAGTGGCAAACATTACTAATAACAGCCATTCTCATAATCCACAGTGCCAGGTTCTCACTCTGCTTTATAGTCATAATTATGGTTAGTTGAGAAGATCCTCTAAGGTAAGACCAACCATATCTATAGTACGGGTGGTAAATGAGACTGAGATAAGTAGCCCACTTGCATCTGGTTAGGAGAACAGGATCTGAATCCTCGTCTGTTGCTGAAGTTCATGCTCTTAACCACTCAATTGGCTCACAAGACGTCTGCTGGCAATGCAGCTGTGCTGGCTAGGGAAAGTGATCTGCCTGCTCCCCAACCCACCATCACTATTGACAGATAGAGCCCTAAGAAAGGTTAAATAGCTCATGCAATGAGACAAAGGTGGTGCGTGGCAGCAGAAAACTAGAAGCTGGCATCTCTTTTATTTCAAGTTTGCAGTTCCGTCCACTAAAGCTCTCCCAGGTTAACCAGAACTTGATAACCCTTATAACAAGTCAAAAGCTAGTAGACAGCTTTCCAGCTCCACTTCTAGGATACAATTACAGGCCACATATCACTAGAGCAAATACTAAAATTATGAAACTTCGCACACCTTTTCAAATAATACTCAGTTCTGCAAAATTCTAATACAGTGAAAAAAATCTGGACAACTCTTCCAAGTTATTTTTATTTGCATTTGAAGTCAAATTCCCTCCACAGATCACTTACTATTTGCAAAGAGTAAATTACTTTTTACGCTAAGACCTACAGCAATCGCTTTCAAACTTCACATCACTACTAGTGGAAAAATCTGACATGTATCTGCTGCTGTGACAATATGAAGAACAAAGCAATGTCATCCAAGATACCTGCCTGAGTGTGCCTCCCCTCAAAGATCATTATGCTCGAAGGTAGGAGCCTCTGGAAGGGGTTTAGGCCATGGAGTTGGAGCCTTTGTGAATGGGATTATAAAAAGAATGTTCCTATAAAAGAGATCCCATAGCTCCTAAGCACCTTCCACTGCTGCAGGCACCGCAAGCTGCTGTCTATGACCCAGCCACAGACTCTAGAGTGGACTTGAGCCTCTACGATAGTGGGAAATAGACTTCTGCTGTTGACAAACTACCCAACCTATGTATGGCACTTTGTTATAATTAAGGCAGCTACTTGCCAAAAAATGTTCAGCTCAAATTTAATCAAGTCTCTGGAACTAATTTCTAATTTATGGGGAAAAGACACCATAAAAAACCATACTAATCAGGATAATGGGACATTTCTAAAGATATTTAACAGCATCATCTTGGGGGGGGGGAGTGAGGAGAGCTCTAGATTCAAATCAAGTAAGGAGATACATCCATTGAATGCAGTTTACCTCTCCTGACTAAATCTTGGCTAAAGAAAATGGGCTATAAAAGTTATTCTTGGGGCCTCCCTGGTGGCACAAGGGGTTAAGCATAGCACTATGAAGCAATCCACAGCCTCTGCAGCATGAGTTAGATTCCCAGCCAGCCAGGGAGCAACCCACATGGCGAGGCAGATCTTTCCTGACTCGCCCGCTGCTCCCCTCAGCAGTGTATTTCAGTCAATCCGCCTGTTCTATTCCCCACTCTGTCTCTGGTGAATCCTCTCACCCCCTGAATCTCTGGCCTGTACCCCAGCTCTTGTATGCATAAATAAATCAATCTTCAAAAAAAAAAAAAAAGTTATTCTAACATGGACTATGATCAGGTGATGCTACAGAAGGTTCTCAGGGAGAAAAAGCCCACTCTTTTTGGAGAGGCACACTGAAGTGTTCAGGAATTGGTATGCAACTTACTTTCCAAGAATGTAACAAAAACAAAACCTACGTATCAGGTTGTTGGGAAAGTCACGATGTATTTTTTTCTTTTTTTCAAGCAAAAACGAGTCATGACTTTTCTGACAACCTAATAATTTTGGAGAGGGAGATAAAACATTATGCTAAATAAAATCTAAATCAACAAACAACTATAAACCAGAGACACACTACTGGGGAGATGGGGGTGTGGGGGGAGGGGGTAGGAGGAATTACAGTCAAAATAAGGTGGGTGGAAACTGTATGGGGACTGTAACCAAGATAAAAATGTATAATCATTGTGCAAAAATGAAAAATGATGTAAAAAATATGTAAAATTAAAAAAAAACAACCAACCCAATATGCTAAATATTTCATCCATATCTTGGTTTCTTAACGTCATTCTTCATTATTCCTTGGAGAAACTCTGAATACCAGGGCGGGAACAGGGCTGAGACATATTTTGGGACCAAAAGTAAAGGATATTCAAGGAATGATTCAGGGACATGTCAAAAGGACACAAGAGTGAGCCAGAGGAGCTTTCACTGGCCTGATATGCAACAATTTGAACACCAAAATAAATAATAACAGTAAAAGATTAAAATTTATGAAGTGAAAAATTAGAATCTATGAGCTCACACTGATATAAATGATTAAATATATAGAAGAACGTTATCTGCAACAGTAAAAAACCAACTCACGAATGCTGGACTGATGGAATTACAAAGTCACCATTTGCCATCTATGGCAATAATTGATTAGACAAGCACCATTAAAATGGAAGGCCTAAAGGGATACCACGACATGTTTTTCAATTACAGAGTAACTTTACAGTGGAGAAACCTGGCAGACATCTCTGACCCAAATGATCCAAGTTCCGTTGCCAGAAACAGAACTAAATTACTGCAGGTACAAAGCACTAAAAGAAAGAATACCTCTTCTGTGAGGTTGGGCCCAAAAGTTCATAAAATAAACCTAATAGGAAAGTATCAGACAAACCCAATGGGAGGGACAGTCTACAAATAACTGGCTTATACTGTTCAAAATATTAATGGCTTAAAATAAAGACTCAGGAACTGTTCCAAGGAGAGGAAAGAGGCCTGTCAGCTGAATGCAACACGTGATCCTGGATTTCTTTTGCCATAAAGGATGCTACTGGGATAACTGAGGAAAATCTCAATGGGCTGCAGAGTAGATAATAGTATCACTGCAGTGCTGAGAGAAAAAGAACGAAAGTGCAGAAAAATCTTAACACCTGGGGAATCTGGATAAAAGGTATTCAAGAATTTTTGATACTATACCCTTGCAGCCTTTTTGTAAATCTGAAACTACATCCAAAAAATCCCCAAATTATTCATTGTTCAATGGAATGATATACAGATGTTCGCTGTAGTATTTTTTAAATTATTCTGTTTATCTAAATATCCTCATTTAAAAATGAAGGAAATATAACACTTATATTCTTGTAACATCACATTCCATCAATTCTAACATGATTTAAAAAAAAAAACACATTAACAAAGTATCCACTTGGATTCCTGGACCCAGCTTATGAAGGGTGAGGTGTCCCCCCTTAAGGCACCATCACATTCTTTCTTGTTGACACAAAACACAAGTCATGTCTTCTCAGAGTCAATAGAATATGGTACATTTGACTGAAAGTTGTTCCACTCACTACTCATTAGTAGTTTCATAAAGAAAGCAAGCAGAGACTATAAAGGCTTATAGTAAAAACTATCAGTGAAATCTTGCACGCCCAGAGATAATCTACACGTATACAGGCACATGTTCTCCAATCCTCTTTGCACACAAATGGCAGTGTATTAGATTTTTTTTTTTAAAGATTTATTTATTTATTTATTTATACAAGCACTGGGTACAGCCAGAAGTGAGAGAGGGTGAGAGAATTCACCAGAGCCAGAGCAGGAACAGAACAGGCAGAGTGACAAAATACACTGCTGAGGGGAGCAGCGGGCGGCAGGAGGGGTCTGCGCGCCATGTGGGACCCTCGTCTGGCGGCCGGGGATGGAACCAGTGCTGCAGAGGCTGCGGGCAGCTTCGCAGCCCAGCGCTCAACCACCGTGCCACCAGCGGAGGCCCTGTATTAGATGCTTTTAGTCTTTTTTTTTTTTTTTTAACCTAAAAATTAACCTGTATTTCACTAATGTTAGCTGCTAGAACCCCAAAGATTGCTTAATACACATGCAGACAGGCATCCACACTCACACGTACTGCATGAGGAGATGAAATGACATCTGATGGCTGGAAACAGCCCCCTTGTCCTCTTGCCCTAAACTATAAAAGTAGGAAAACAGGCTTTTGCTTGGTGGTAAGTTTCTATTTTATGTATTTCCACAATGTAATTCTTTTATTGTCATAAAATAAACATAAACTTTACCATTTTAAATATTTTTAATTCTAATCAGTGGCATTAAGTATATTCACTATCTATCTCCAGATCTTTCTTATCCCAAACTTATTTTCTGCACCCACTAAACAAGTACTTCATTGTTTAATTGTAAAAAGACAGCTTATG